CCATAATCATAATTTTATGCAGTACTGAATATCTGTACAAATCGAAAAACGTATGTATGCTTATGTGTCAGTCTGTTTGTCTATCTGGGCATTTTAATCCAGCGGACAAGTAAGCTTTGATCCAGAACTTTTGCCAATGGTTTTCCTGGCGAAGTGGTACCTAAGGAAGTTGGTATGAACTTTCATGCACGCTTAAGCCTCACGTACGAACACGTGAAATTCTAGCGAGAAAGTTGATAGCTCGGGAATCGAAAAGCTCGAGAGCTGAAATTTTAGGGGGATGTTTTCTACCAAAGTATAATTTAAATTTTTCGGATTCAGTTTCTAAGTACGCTTGGTTTTTACCACTGGCGCGCGAATGTACGGAAAAACTGCTAGCTCAAAAGCTAGAAAAGTCAAAAGATTGAAGTTTTGAGATGTTCTCTGACCATGCGCGACGCAAGGATTTCAAATCCAGAATTTAAATAGGCTTTGTCCTCATGTGCAAAATGTGAAATTTTCGGCGAAAAAATTGTTAACTCAGTAAACAGATAAACTAGGAAGCTGAAATTTTAAGGAGATTTTCCCTGTCTATGTGCGATTTAACGCTTCAAATTTTGCTCTTAAATATAATTGGTTATCACGTGTGGATGCATGAAAATACGCGTTTTTTCATCCTTTTTACATTCTGCCCCTTGACCAATTTCTATTTTCAACAACCGACCGGTAACAGCTTATTTTTTGTTCCCTTTCTTGCAAAATTTATAGTAATCATGCACGTTAGAGGTGAAGATTATATGCTGCCAAGTAAGGAAATACTAAATTTCCAGCTGACGCTCTTTTCCTCTGGTATTCAGGTAAAACGATAACACGCTCAAGATGAATGCACATGTTAAGCATGTAAAGCGATAACATTTATGCTGTTAGCAATTTGGTCACTTCGACTCTCGTGCAAAAACGCATGATCGCACGAGCATACCTGGTGCGCCGTTACCTAGGTTGCATTTGCGTGAATGCCAAAACGCATAATGAAGATAATAATGTATCCGAATTTGATGCGTATTTCTGTACAATAATTTGGAAGTACCTACCCGAAGAAATTTGGAAGTGCCTACCCAAACCAGCCTCTGTGTAGGCGAACTGCGCAAAAGGTAGTAGCTTAGGTAAACCGCTGGTTTTTTTCTTTTGAAAGTTTTCTCGCTGAGAGATTGCGACACTGTTCGGCTATTTTCGACACCCTT